GGACAGGACCCGCGCGCCGACAGCACTAGGGCCAAGAAGGCAGCGCGATCCACAAGTCCAGACGCCAAGACGTGCGTACTTTATTTCAGTTCCAAATGATTTTATTTTTTATTGATACGTTATAGCAGGGGGCTCTTGCGCGTCGTGTTAGACTTAAGCCAATGAGCTTGAGGCGCCAGTTTGCGTCACAATATTAGCGGGAATTTTAAATGCAGCCAGGTACTAAAATGACCACCTTGTTAGAAATCATTAAAACTTATATGAAGCATTTCTTTTAAACATTGCATATTTTACACTTTCGTTGTGTTATTTTGGATTGGTTACCGTTGAAAATTGTCACTTTACGCGACTTTCAAATGTTTCTCAACACTTCTGTCAATTGCAACATGGAGACCAGCGCCTGGTCTTCCTACTTCTAGGCTGTCCGGGTGACGCCGCGTCGTTGGCAGATAGGCCAACCAGACCAAGTCAGTACCCTGAAGAAGCCTGCAACATGACAGGCGAAACGTCGGCCTATCTGCCAACGACGCGGCGTCACCCGGACAGCCTGCAAGTAATGGACTCGAGCCGCGGAAGCCTACGTGTACATCTGGTCTTTCTATTCAAACGAAGTGACAGGGCTGTGCTTACGTAGTTCACGACGCATACTGGTTCCGCGTAAAACGAGCAAAAATCGGTGCGCCGGGCAGTTGAGTGACGCTACATATTCCCTTATGGAGGAAATTATGGAAATAAAGTCAACATCTATTTAATCAGTAAATAAGTAAATCTGAATCAATAAAATAAGGTAAAAATGAAGTTGTGATTGTACCATTGGCGTTCACTAGTTCTAATGATATCGGGCAAGAAAACGCCCTAGTCCAAAGGCACTCGGGCATTTTGTCGCTCAAGTTCAAGAGAACTCTTACAACGTCTTTGATACTTAACTGTTACACTCCCCAGGTTTGGCTTACTCTCATTTTATGTGCATTCTTCATTACAGGCTTTGGATGTACGTGAAAATGTTGTTGATGTCTGGAGTCGTTGAGGTCTTCGCTGAAACAACCGGCTGGGCGATAAGCAAGTACGACAATAAAACATACTTTTCTCAAACGGATTACGCACTCGCGTACCGCGCCACGGGCTACATAATCGATTGCTTCCGCGCGGCGTGCGTCGCCTGGCTGGCCGCTCCGGACGGAGGTTACTTCGCCGCTCTGCGGAGGGGGCTCGGAGGAGAGCGGAGTGCCGAAGCGGGTAGGAAGCGGGGC